TTAAAAAAAAGAAAAAAATCTTTAAAAAAATGGGGTTATAGGAGGCCAGCAAAGTTTGAGACGTTTGGGTGGGCATTTTGACAACATGGCTTCTCCTTCGGCATGTTTAACTGTGATGTTTAATGGACATCCTTGCAGTTGAAGATGACACTTTTAAAATAAAAATTCTCTCCTGATGATGACTTAAGCCCCGCCACTCGCAGGGAGAATCAGCAGAACCTGTAGGCTCTTATTTGGAATTGACATTCTCTTGTAATTGTGTTCCTGTTTATTTTTCAATTTGCTTTTCGTTTCACCGGAAAGGAAAGATGCTCAGTTTTAAATGTTGAAAGTGTACAAGTGGCTTTGTTACAATACTAAATGTGTACACGCACACAAAAAGGAAAGATGGGCGAACGATTAGAGCAAAGAAAATTTTTATTATGAGTTGTGTGGCATGACTTCCAAGTTTGTTTTCTACTTTTGTAGCTTGTTTCCTATCTACAAGTCGTGCCTGATTTTTCAGTCTGACTTTCATATCCTTTTTTCATGGTCCTGTAAACGATGATATTTATAGTAAGCCTAGAATATTGTTTGAATTTCTTTGCGAGTTATCCAACAGAAATTAGCCTACTCAACTATGTCTCCTCGTTAGTAATACTTAAGAGAGTCAGATCAGGGGCTTTGGTGTTACACAGACTTAAGACCAAATTCTGCCTTTGATACTGTGATCTTGGGTATGTGACAGTCTGTGAATCTGAGTTTCTCCATACGTAAAAGAGAGGCAATAATTCGTACAGGGATGTCGCGGTGATTAAATGAGGCAGCGTATGTAATTTAGCACTCTGCATGAGGACTAAGTGGTGCTGTTGTTGTTCGTCTTAATAAAAGTTCTCGTAGCTCTCCAGAGAAAGAAAGAGTCTAAAGGTCTCATAGGATTTGGCACGTGGAGTTTCTGACTTTTTGAGGACGGGTTTGCATGATGGGAGAAGCTAGAATGCAGTTAGGGGAGGCAAAAATGATAGACTCATAATTACTTGTGTGATTTGATTAATGTATGTCTTTTGTAAGACCCAGAATTCCGTCAGGGCGGAGATGGTTCTCTCTACTCTTGTATCCTTAGCTTCTGCATGCTGCTTAGATTATAGTCAGCCCTCAGTAAACAGAAATCATTTGGTACTTCTGGTTCTCCTGATGCCCCCCCCCCTGGAAAAAAAACCCTCATATTAAATATGTCATTTAATCTATTTTTCAGTGAATCTTGAGCTCCAGCTTCAGATGCCCCTAGCTGTGCACCACCAATGGTGTTTCTTGAGGATTTTTTGTAAATTGAGGGGGGTCCGGCCAGGCTGGTGGAACAGCATGGGCTGTGCCAGAAACACCAGCATGTTGGGCTAGGGCTTTGTGAGCTTCAGATCTCCTGCTGGTGCAACTCCTTAGAAACACTTCTCAGGGCGCCTGGGTGGCTCAGTGGGTTAGGCATCCTACTCTTGATCTCGCCTCACGGTTCTTGAGATGGAGCCCTGCATCGGGCTCTGCACTGACAGCATGGAGCCTGCTTGAGTTTCTCTCTCCCTTTCTCTCTGCCGCACCCCCCCCGCCCCAATAAATAAACAAACTTAAAAATAAAAAACACCTTTCAGTTTCTTCCTGTTACTGCCTTTATTTTCCTGAAGACACCTGGAATTGCTCATCTGTTGTTTCCTGTCTTCCATCAGGCACTCTGCTTCCGCCTGATTCCAGCTCTTCTGATTCATTTGACTGTACCTTTGAAGTGTGAGCTCTTCTCAATCTTTTGCTATTAGGGACAACGAAAGGACACAAACAGGCAATACGAAAAGGCTTTTTTACTATTATTATATCTTTACTGAAACTTCTCAAGCTATGTAAAACACTAATGTCTGTATCGGGTCTTAGAGGAGGACTTTTACGAGGGATTTTCTTCCTTTCTATCCCCTTGCTTTAAGCATAATAAGTCTTACATGATCCTGAACCACCTAAGTGTAGTTTCTGTTGAAGAGTTAGGGCCCTGAGGTCAGTTTCCACCTCTGCTTCCTCCCTGACCTTTAGCAGATTGATCACTCCATTCCTCATCTGTAAAATGGGAATAATAATAGTTTCTACCTCATAAGGTTATTAGGATTAATGAGGTTATATATCTGTGTGCCTATCCATCTGTTGAAAATAATGCCTCGCAACACTAAGTACTCAGTGAATGTTAGTTATGGTGGTGCTGCCTCTCTTTTGGTATGTGCAAGGCTCTAGGAATTTAGAGATGAGTAAAGTAAGGTTTCTGGTATCAGAAAAATCATAGCGAAAAAGAAAAAGGGGCAAGCAAATACATACAGTACATTATGGTAAGTTGGGTTGGTAGAGATACATATCTAGTGCATTGCCCGAGGTGAGATGGAGACGTTTGTGTTCAGGCCACGGGGAGAAGGTCAGGAAAGGCTGACGAAGGAGAAGCCGAAGCAGTTTGAAGGATGAGTTCTGATTTCTGAGCAGGAAGGAGTTCCACAGGTAGGGGTATAGGTATATAAGTCAGTACTAAGCAGGGAATTTTGTGGGAAAGATGCATGTTTTTGACTTAGAAGCTAGCCTGTTAAATCTTTGGGGGCTGGAAATCTTTTCTTTTACTTTTTATTTTTTTTTTTTTTTATTTATTTTTTTATTTTATTTTTTTTTCAACATTTATTTATTTTTTGGGGGGACAGAGAGAGACAGAGCATGAACAGGGGCAGAGAGAGAGGAGACAGAATTGGAAATAGGCTCCAGGCTCTGAGCCATGAATCAGTCTTCCATGGCTGGAACTCACGGACAGCAGATAGAGTGACATACCTGGCTTTGGTCGGACTGGCTTAGCCGACTTCATGCCAAGCAGCCCTCTTTTTTCTTTTTAAACAAAAAATCTTCTCAGAACTCGCTGATGCACATAATTTACTATTTGCAAACCATTGCCAAGTCATTCATTTTCAAAAAGAATTAAAAGTTTTGGTTTTGGGAAACTAAAGTGAATACCGTGTTGCCATCTAATGAATCAATGGATGATTTTATTGTTTGTATGATCATGTTCAACCAGGTGGTTAATATAAACCAACTTTTACATTATATTTCATTACTTATGAAATCTGATATTTTATAAATGAAATATTCTGTTATATTAAAGTTATCTTGAGACCTGTATTTTATGAACTATGTGAATATCAGGATGTCCGAAGATCATTAGCTTTAAGAACTATTTTTGTTTGCAGAATAACTGGCATAATTAATGACTTGCAAAATTATGTATGTGTACTGCCTTTCAAGGGTGATGAGAAGAAAGAATATATAAATCAGAATCACCTGGGCCATCCATACTTGTTGCCTTATATTCGTAGCAGTATAACATGTTGTAATAGTGTTTACTGATATGCTGGTTTTGGGGGTATAGTCAGATATTAATGATGGAATATCTTGTAAAAACACAAACTTGTTGAGTTAAGGAAAATGGTGAGAATGAAGAATTTGCAAATGGAAGGACAAAAATGTTTGTATTTAGCATAGTTAGTTGTTCATAGTAACACTTTTTCAAAAAATGTATTAAAGAACTTAACACAATTTGGGGCACCTGGGTGGCTCAGTTGGTCAAGCGTCCGACTTTGGCTCAGGTCTTGATCTCATGGCTCATGAGTTCGAGCCCCACGTCAGGCTCTGTGCTGGCAGCTCAGAGCCTGGAGCCTGCTTCGGATTCTGTGTCTCCCTCTCTCTCTGCTCTTCTCTTGCTCATTCTCTCTCTCTCAAAAATAAATAAACATTAAAAATAAAAAGAATTTAACACAGTTCTTTATAATGAAAATATTTTCGTTTTTATCTAGAGAGCTGTAGAGGGTGCTGTATCATTAGGAATAGTAGTCTGAACGGGTCTTGGCTAATTATAAGAATACCTTTAGGCCAGGCTATCAAATTTGGTTTTATTATTATTTTATTTTAACTAAAATTATAGTGACTAATGTTGCATAATTGATACAGCTTGAAATGATGATGCATAATTGATACAGTTTATAGTTTATATTAATATATGGTTTATAATGTACTTGGTTTCAGTAATATAGTTTATAATGTACTTTGTTGCAAAATGTTCTTTATCTTTCAGATTGTTTAAATATAGTTGAAATTTTGATTTCCCCATTTCATATTGGTCACAGTAGCGAAGGTTTATTTTCCTACCTGTCCTCTCCCAAATTGAGAATTCTGCTATTTCATTGGTAGGCTGCATAAGCAATCTCTTCTCTTCAGATGGGTCTCAGTGAGTCAAAGATAATGAAGCCATGCAATGAGACTATGTATTTTAGGTGGCTATATTTTAGGTTCAGAAGAATATTATCTTTAGAGGAAAGATTGTTAGAACAAAATGGAATTTAAAAACCTGGCAGACTTTAGAAGTTGGTTTTGTTAAGCCAGAAGTCTGACTTTTCTACGGATTCATTTATTCAGATAGGAGTTTTGTAACTTCCAACTCCACTGTTCCGTACTTTTTCTGGTTTAATGGTGATTTTAGGAAACCTGAAGTAGAATTAATTATCTGATAATATTTTTATCGTAAAGCATTGCTGTGAGAAATCAATTTTTATGACTTTGGATTTGGTTGCACCAGTGCTGAAAAATTTAGAGATAATTTTCATTTAGTCAAGTTAGATGAAGTGGTATATTTTGGAATAAAATGCAATAAGTTAGCTGTGTTTAAAAGATACAGAAAATGTTATATAAGCATCTGTCTTCTAAAATGTAGGCAACTTTGAAACCTTGCCAGGAATTTCTTCCTTTTTCCTGAAACCGTATTTTAAATATTTATTACGAAGTTTTATACTTCAGTTTCTGTAAAATAACAAGCAGGAATTTGATGTCCCAGTGCCCCCGCCCCCCGAAAGTGAAAGTGTTTTCTCTTATTGCGGGTAGAAGGTTTGCTGTTGTTCAAGCTGTCTTATTAAACAAGTGTACTCTGTTTTTTGTTTTGTTTTGCTCCTCTTGTTTTAACCCTCAAGGCGCCACCTTCCATGGTTAATAACGAACAACGCCAGCATGCAGAGCACATATTCTTATCGTTTAGGAAATCAAAGTCACCATTTGCAGTTTGCAAGCATATTTTGGGTAAGTATTCACTTTTAAAATATTTTTGCAGAATTGAATATAGTCTTTCTATCCTGGATGTTAGATATTTTAAATGCCTTTTAAAACAAGCAGGTGTGTGTAATTACAATTTTCCATTAATAGTCATTCTGTTGAAGTGGCTTTAAAGATAGTCCATAAAGCCAGATAGAAGACTGTTTCTACTTTGACTTTTTTTCCCCCAACTATAGTAATTTGTAAATACAGTAAGTTACTAAATATAGTAAATATGTATAATTTGTTTTATTACTGACCAAAACATGAAGTCTGTTAATGGTGGGGGGAAAATCTAATATTTTTTCAGTTCTCAAGAGTGCTATCACTTGTTATAGGAAATGCACTATAATATATCTTACTCTAGTGTTTTGAAATTATGATTGTTTTTGGAGGTTTCAACAATTTTTCTTTCGTGCAAAAAATTTTTTTAACCATATAGTTTGTATTCAGCTTGCTTAGCAAATATTAGTTCTATGTAGATGATCGCTGTGTATTGTAAAATGAAACATTAATTTTTACTCTTGTAAAAATATTTTACAAGTACCTTTTATCTGACATACATACAGAAACAATCTCTTTCCTTTAAAAATAATCACAAAAGTTGTAACTCTTGTCCAGAGATGGCATTTTCTAAGTCCACACAGACACAGACACAGACACACAGTCTTCTGTCTCTTACATATTTTTCAGTGATAGTAAGAGAGATTTCATTGGTTATTGTTATTTTAAAACTTAATTGTTTATTAAGTCTTTCTTAATTGGAGCCATTTTTTGTAACCCACACTTGAGCCTCTGAAAGGCTATTTGAGTTATTCTTGACCATAAAATTGGTTAGTTGCATATTAGGAACTAAAATATCTGACCTTTTATTCTTACGCTTTTAGTAAGACTTATCTGTTAGCCACCAGCACTCTCTGGTTTCCAGATTGAAATAGCCTGCAATTAAATTTAAATGTTAAAAATGCTTTCCGTATAAGGGCTTATGAGTGCGTTGTTAGGTTGGAATAGAGAGAGCACTGCTGTAGGACCTGTGAGGTCTATTCTCCATGGTATCAACTTGAGGAAGTCACTTAGCCTCTCGGAGCCTGTTTTCGTCTATGAAATGGGAACAGTGGTACCATTTTCCTTAATGGGCTTCGTTGCCTTAAGTTGTTGTGAGGCACAAATGTAGTAGCCACATATAAAACCACTCTGTGAACGGTAATGCGAGGAGCCCCGTTACCTGATTTCAGATGGCGTTTTAAAAATAAGGTAACCTTCACAAAGTGCTCTGTTCTGTTTGCAAGGAGCTCGCAGAGGTGGTTGAAGGTGGCTGTGTCTCATTCAGGAGTCAGATTTTTCACTAGAGGAGCAGTCAGTTTTAATAACCACCTTTTAAATTCTACATGAGGCAGTTTTTATTTGTTTTATTTTTTTAGTGGTCAGGTGTCATACTTGGGTGAACTTGTTTCTGGCACTAAGAAAACTTGCTATCATGCCTGTGGAGAATATTTAATTCAGAGTTAAATCACAAGAAGTAAAGCTAAACATCAGCGTTAAGAATTCAAGGGAGCTTTCGTCTTCACTGCCTTGAAATTGTTCAGCGTTAATAGTTTAGGAAACCATTGTGTTAAACTAGTCGCCTAACATAATTCGAGTCTGGTTTTTATGGCATACGCCTTAAGTACGTTAATTAGGATTCCATCAGTTTCATCGGACTTTCTATTGTAATGCAGTTGTCATTCAGTACTAGTTGGGAAATAGTTGATCTAAGTTGTAAGTATGTTATTAGAGTGTATTTGTTTATACGACTCTTTCCTTTTTAGAGTATGTATATTTTATGAAGTACTGTTGCTTTGTTACGATTTGAGCTTGTCTGGAATACGTTTGTTTTCCTGATAAAAATGTCTAAAGAATAGTATTGCTAGTTCTGGCTGTGCTTTTAAAACCAGTTTGGGTTTTGAGATATTAACTATTTAAAAGGTTGAGTGCATGTATTGTAATCTAATCATTAATGTACTGCAAAGCCCTGTGTTACATTAATGTTTACATCTAAACTTCACAGAAAATCTTTCAACTCCTTACTCAGTTGCCACCAGCACAGAAGGGTTAATTCCTCTAAGAAGACTTCTCATACAAGTGGCAGTCAATCGCAATTCAGAATTTTCACATTCTTAGCTAGGGATAATATGTCATTTTTATACAGTGTCTGGGTGATATATTCTAATAAAGGGGAGACTTTCTCTTTGATGCTTCCCTGTTCTGGCCTCTTAAAATTCTTCCTTCCCACTTCTGACCTAAGTTTTTATTACGTTTCTAGTTTTCCTCATTTCCTTCTCTTCTTATCCTTTTGTTGTCATTCTGGGTGTGCTTTTTCCACTCTGTGTGCGCGCGCGCATTTGCGTGTGCATGTTGCACGCCCCGGCGCGTTTTGTCAGAAGGGTACTTTTGGATTTCTGCACCTCAGACAGAAGTCTTTGGCATTCAGGAAGGTGTTACTTTGGTTTGGTCAAATGTGCGTTCACAAATCCTGAGTTCTGTTCTTGTTAAAGATACACCCCGACCAGCGCTTCCGCAACTAACTTTGCAGCGTTCTTCTGTGTGATTTCTCCTCCTCCCCCCGGGGAGAAACGGGTTTCTTCAATTTCTTGTCTCAGAAGTGGTTGGAGCAAAATGAAGCGAAACTGAGACTTCTTATCAGTTGGGGTGCCTGTGTACACGTGTGTATCCACGTGCTCTGGAGCCTGTGCTTTGGACAGAAGTCTTTCATGCCAGAGAGGTGGTCGTGGTAGCTGAGCATCTGGGCCTTGACTACTGTGGTTTTAGTTTTCTTTTAAAAATATTTTTTGGCCAGAATGTGGTGCTCTGCCTCTCATTGTTTCCTTCACTTCAATTTTTGTCTTCATGGCCCTGTGTGGTTTCAGATGGCTGACGTGATAGAAATGAATTTTATTTACATAATTATTAAAGTTACCGTGGTAAAAAGGGACAACTTGCTGCCGAAGTGGCCTAAAATAATTTATTCTCTAGACAATGCCCTGGTCAGTGGAGAACAACTGAAAAGTATCAGAAATTCTAGATGACTTGTGAGTTCCTCGTGAAGACCTTGCCATTTCAAGCATCTTTGGAGCAGAGAGCAAGGATAAGGCTCATCTATCCACGTGAAGGCCCAATCTTCTGCTGGTAGCTTCGAGAGTTCCATAGAGCACCTTTTGCACATTTATATCGTGTTGAAGTGCGGTTTATGAAGGCTGGTGACAGTTTCGTGAGAAGGTGTAGTGCGATCCATTAGGTTAGGAGAATTCCTTCCTTGAAATTTGGAATTTGGCTTTCTTTTTTTCAGGTTCCTCCATTCTTAGAGAAGCTTCTTACGGGAGTAGGAATGTAGAGATGCCCAAACAGAGGCATCTAAGAGTCACCTCGGAAACTGTTGAATGTCTGTCATTCACCTTCTGCAGTTAACTCCCTCCCTCGTCCCTTGCAAAAAGGAGGGGGAGGCAGGAAAAACAGCTTGGCTGTAAGCACAGGTAGTTAGAAATAAGCATGTTTTGTTGCTTCCCGAAACAGGAAGGAGCTCGTTTGGTCTTCTCTTCCTTGGCACGTGCGTTTAGGGGTGGCTTAGTGTCGCCCCAGGAACATTCACCGGCCACGTGATCCTGAATTCTTTTCTCTTAGTCCCCTGGTGCGTCAACACTTTCTTCAGCCTTAAAAGGCAGGAATTGAATTAGGTGACCTTTGGGGTTCTAGGTCCAAAATTCTGTGAGTCCCTAAGATTTTGCTTCTTTGTTAAAATCCATAACTAAGGATCTGGGGTTTCTTGTCCTTAAGATTTTTACTATGGCAATAGAAAGTGAAGTTAGGCAATCAGCCATCGTTTACTTTATAGAAAAGGTTTATAATAAGAGATTACTTGAATCACCTTTATGAAGCGGTACCGTATTTCTCCTTACGTGATCTAAATAGATGTAGCTAGTTTCTGTTTCAGTTCCTCTTACACTCACTTTTTTTTTTCCTCCTGAAACTTTAAACACATCTTTTTATGATAGGTTTACATTTTTGGAAGCTATTGCTTTCTTTACTGATAATATTTTAAGGTTTCTAAATTTTTGTGAGTTCTGATGATCATCTCACTTAGAATTCATGTTAAGAAAGCATGGAATAATCAAACTTTTTTAAAAAGGTCCAAACTGGGTCCTCTTTTTGGTTTTGTTATGTTCAAAACTCCTATTTGGTAGTCTAAATTGATGGAATTTATGTAGGGTGTACCTTTTTTTTCACCCATTTTTATAGCGTATTGTGTCAAGATCACTCAAGATTTTTAAATGACCTGAGCTTGAGTAGGAGAGAAAATGATGTGCCTCCCTATGTCTTCATGCTCTTCTGATAAATTCTTGAAGGTGCCATTCTATGCCTAGAGTTAATTTCTCAGGGCTCTCGGATACTCATGTCTAGTGATCTTGGCAAATAACCTGCAATCTAATCATAAACTTTCATGGATTTCACATGATGGTTATTTTTCAGAACTTCAGAAAATTTCTACTTTTTCTTGACTTCATTTTGACTGTTTCTCCCTTTTGATAATGCTGTTTGGAAACTGATTGTAGTGGTATTGGTGAATAAAAGAAAAAATAGAAAATTAAAATATTTCTTAGGTATGTTAATTTTCTGTTTTTTCTTTCCCTCCTGATTCAGTTTTTAGTTCAGATACTATAACTTGCTAGTTAAGGCTGGGGTTTTCTAAGTGTAGCTTTGGAATTTTACTCAGTTTGATCAGTATTGCAATCAGAAAATTCACAAGAACTTCTCACCTTGGGTAAATGTGACTCCCCCTTTTTTTTTTTTAAACATTTTGAGAAAAATAACCTGAATGTGATTGTGTTTATTTCTGAACTTGCTATTGGGGATGGGCCATCCTGCTGAAAGCTTAATTTCTTAACAAATATTTTAACAGCATGGCTCACCACAAATAGTAATGTTCAAAGACGAGTTTATTAAGATATTTTGCAAACGCAAAGCTCTATTTTGCACAGGGTGAGAATCTCTTAGGAAATTTTCTGATTGCTTTATATTTTTATTTTTATTTTTTTTAAAGCTGTGTTATTTTTTAGTTCTTCATGCTTTGGAAGTAACAGTTGAAGAGAGGTGAGGAAAGTTTGTGAAAATTGTGATCGGTGATTAGCTGCCACCTGCCTGGGGTGTCTTCTGAGAGGAACTAACCTCTTTGTGGTGCTAGAGCAAGGTCACTGGATTAAAAAAAGAACAGGTAACCATCTTATTCCTTGTCTGAAAAGTTCTGTTTTTAAATTAATAAATGCAAACTGTTCAAAGAAGGAGGAATTGCTGTTTAAAGAAAGTTTCCAATTTTCTCCTCAGAAACAAGTAAAGTGGACTATGTCCTCTTTCAAGCTGCCACAGCCATAATGGAAGCAGTTGTCCGAGAGTGGATTCTCTTGGAAAAAGGTAGCATCGAGTCACTGCGAACATTCCTTTTAACCTATGTCTTACAAAGGCCTAAGTAAGTACATGGCGGAGGCGCTGCTCAAATACCTGCGCTGCCCTTGTCTTGTCTTGTCTTTTTTTCTTTTCTTTTCTTTTCTTTTCTTTTCTTTTCTTTTCTTTTCTTTTCTTTTCTCTTTTCCTTTCCCTTTCTTTCTTTCTTTCTTTCTTTCTTTCTTTCTTTCTTTCTTTCTTTCCCTTTTTTCCTTTATGTTTTTAACGATAGATGTTTATGGTTAAGCTCTGCTTGGGCTCATATTTTAAAAACTCACACACACGTGGTTGTGGGTTGTTATACTGCTTAATGAAATACGACTTTATATTTAAGCTTATGATACAGGGTTTTGTTTCTTGGAAAAGATGGTGCTGGATATTAAGGGTTTTTTGTGGACGTTTAGTTCCAAAGATTTTGCTTATGAATAAAAGTTGATCTTGGACTCCATGGAAAATCCTTTGTACATAGTCGTTCTTTCGGTGTTTGGTAGCATCGTAAGACATAGGTGAGTATTCCAGGACACGGGTGCGAAGGGTGGTCAGGTGCCATTAAAACACCAAGTGTTACACATACATGTGCACGGAAATGCACATTAGGAAGGTTGTAGAAGAGAAAGCACCAAATTTGTTCAATACTTTCTTTTGGAAAATGGATCAGTTTTAAGAAGTAGGGTAAAAGTGAGTTTTCTTTTTGTGTTATGTACGTTGTGTTGTTTGAACATTTTACAAGATTTGTACATTCATTGCTTGTGTGTGTGTGTGTGTTTTTTTTTTTTTTTTTTTTTTTTTTTTTTTTTTTTTTTTTTTTTGGTAAATCCTTCAAATACCAAGTTGTCTTTTAGGAAGAGGCACTGCACATCGCACGTTTGCCATTTGTGCAGTTGAACAATTGAATCCTTTTTCCATACACATACACTTTCAAATTCAGTGAAGAAATGCTCTCTAATTGGAACTCCTGGTAACTAGGCATGTCGATTAATGGTGATCAGTATGCATGAAGCTTTAAACATAATTTAGAGCACACCTTTCTTTCTACGGATTGTTCACTCGCGGTCTTCTGAGCTCATAATATTTAATAATAATTACTGGCGTGAATTTAGCATGCAGGTAAGTGCCAGTTGCTTTGCCTAAAGAAAAATGCATAAGAGAAAAAAGGCAAGATTTACTTAGCCTGTAAACAAACGTTGCAGGTGTAATGGGTAATACTTTCTGTAGATGACTGGATAGAGATGTATGTAAAGGGAGGGTTTGGCTTGTTTTTTCTGGTTTTAATAGAATAAGGGGAAACTGTCCCAATTTCAAACCTTTCTCTTCTCCTTCATGCTGATTTTCTTTATTTAAATTTTAATTTGTTGTTTGATGAGGCCATTTGGGTGTGCTCCTGGAGCTGCTCATTGATCCCAGTTTTTCTCCACCCTCCCCAAGTTGGAACTGCTGAACTCTGGAGAGTTTGATAGACTTAAATGTGTGGTAAATTTTGATTGCGTGTGTGTGTGTGTGCGCGCGTGTGTGCGTGCATGCACACATGCACATGATCTCTTCTATTATCCAAAACAATCTAATTCTTCAGTAATTTTCATTAGTTCAGGAGCTATTTTAGAGTTGATTGTAAGGTTCCACATTGAAATAGTTCACTTACGTATTTCCCCCCAAACACTAAAAAAAAAAAAAAAAAAAAAAAAAAAAACTTTAAGCAAAGTTGAAAGAATAATACAATGAACACACACACACTCTTTTCCTAGTGGAGGCTCAGTTAACATTTTGTCACATTTGATTTCTCTCACATATATGCATTTTCCCCTGAATTACCTGAAAGTATGCTGCAGAAATTAGGATACTTCATCCTTTTTTTTTTTTTTAATGTTTATTTATTTTTGAGAGAGAAAGTGTGAGCAGGGGAGGGGCAGAGAGAGAGGGAGACACAGAATCTGAAACAGGCTCTAGGCTCTGAGCTGTCAGCACAGAGCCCGAGGTGGAGCTTGAACTCACCAGCCGTGGTATCATGACCTGAGCCGAAGTCACAGGCTTAACCGACTGAGCCACCCAGGTGCCCTCAATACTCTTGATATAATTGGCATATTAAATTAATCTAATATAATTTTGATCCTATATTCTCATTTTCCCAGTTGTCTGAATAATGCTATTGATATCCTTTCCTCCTTTATAAGTTATTTGTTTGATCCAGGATTTAACCACAGATTATACATTGTGTTTAGTCTCTTTACTCTGTTTTAATCTAGAATAGTTCTGCCTTTTTTTTGTCTTTCATGACAGAGACAATTTTATCTTGTAGAATTTCCTACAGTATGGACCAGAGTCAAGTCAAAACTGTTGGTATACCGCATAGGTAGAATACTGTGAATGCTGCATACATAGTGTTGTATACTTCTCGTTTGGTACACAGAACTTTCTCTTTTCTAGTTTTTTCCTCCTAATTGAGATAGCATTTTCACGGAGTGAAATGCCAGGCGCACCTGACAGTATAGCAGGGCGGTTGAGAATCTACTGCTGCCACTGTGTGCACGGGCAGATTGCTTGCCCTCTCTGTGCATTAGTTTTTAAAATTATTAGTATTTAATTAGCTATTAGAGTTAATAATAGTATTGTACTCAAAAGGTAGTTGTGAGGGTTGAATGTATTAACTTTTGTGAAGTTCGTTTATAGCCTTGCATAACATAAACACCAACCAAATGTGAGCTATTATTTATTTTCCTAGTAATTTATAATTCTTGCCAATGGAGGTCGTTAAAACTAGCTTTATGTTCACTTCCTAGTAGGAGTTGGTGTATTTGAAATTATCATGTCCCCCAAAATGTACAAAAACTCCTTTTGGTTAACTCACATTCCTCCTGTTCTTCCCGTACAATCTCTGCATTTATTTGCTTATGAGTGCTTCAAGTGTGTATTTTGCAGGAATATTTTTCACTTCAGTCTTGACATGGGGGGCATGTTTGTTTGTATGTCTAATAGATGCCTGTCATGTGTCGGGGGAGCCCTCCTTAGTAACGGCCCACCATGTTCAGGGAGCTTCAGGGAGTCCCCTCTGGAGAAAGGGACATCACAGTCTTAGCAGAGGACACAGACGTTCAGAGGTCTGTGCATTGCGCCAGGGACTGAAAGAAGCTCAGCGTGTCTGCAGTTTTGAGCGAATGTGGAAGCGGGGATCAGAGAGGGCAGGAGGAGGTCCCTGACCATGACAGACTGTTGAAGTGGGTGACCGTATCAGTTATGTCCCAATGGGGACACTTTGCAGGGGATAGGACAACAGGTAGATTGGTAGTGTCCAAAGAGAGCTCGGTTGGGTCCCACTGCTTGTAAGCCACGTTAAGGAATTGGGGGTTTATTCCAAAGGGCACATGGTTGGTGTATCCTTGTGGCATTCTAGAAGCCGGATTATAAAGTTATGTTATCTGAGCCTTACCTTTAAGAAAAGGTTGTGACAGGACAACTAAATCTCCGTGCCCTAGTGGTCTAGTCTACTTTGTGTACTTTGTAGAATTCCTTCACTTGGGATCATTGCTTCTGCCATCACACTGAAGAGCACAGTTTAGATAAGGAATTTTAGAACTTAAAATTTTTTTCTAATATTTATTTGTGAGAGAGTGCGAGTGGGGGAGGGGCAGAGAGAAAGGGAGACACAGGATTTGAAGCAGGCTCCAGGCTCTGAGCTGTCAGCACAGAGCCCGATGTGGGGCTGGAACCCACGAACCGTGAGATCATGACCTGAGCCGAAGTCAGACGCTTAACCACCTGAGCCACCCAGGCACTCCAAAACGTTTTTTAAAATGTGTGTGTGTCCATAATATATTTTGGGTAGCTAGCCTGTTTCCTTTTCACATTAAAGGGAGTGGGTTTAAGATTATACTACTGGTTGGAGATGGATATTAGATCAGAATTTCTTTTTATTGGTAGAATCATAATCTGGCTCTCAGTGAACTGACTTAGATCTCTTGAACACTGCCTGAAGCAGCTAACATTTATGTAGCACTTAGTATGCACTGGGCACAGTTTGAAGAACATTTGATCCTAGTCACAACCCTGTTAATGTTACCCCCATTTCACAGATGAGAAAACTTAAGGCTCTGAAACGGTCTTGCGTACCAGGGTCACCAAGCCCGTAAGTAATGAAGCATGGATTCAAGTCGAGATCTCCTGGCTCCGGAGACAGTGCATAACCAGTAGGCTGTGCCACCCTCCGATGTGAGCCGTGTGATTAGTAGCGTCAGGCGTAGGGAGAAACTTGGGACTGCTTTTATATTGGGATCATGTAAAGGTTTTCACAATGATCTTTGTGTTTTGCAGCCTCCAAAAGTATGTTCGGGAACAGATTCTGTTAGCAGTAGCAGTAATTGTAAAACGAGGATCCTTAGATAAATCAATTGACTGCAAAAGCATTTTTCACGAAGTCAGCCAGTTGATAAGTAGTGGCAATCCCACTGTGGTAAGTGTGCTATCTGTATTTATAAATAGTTAAAATTTTTATTCTGTGTTTTGCAAATAATACAGCAATACTAACGTCTACATTAAAGAAAAAGTGCACAGTCTGAGAATCGAGCAGTTTTCATTCGTTCGTGTTTTCTTTTAGTCCCTTTTTATATGTTTACATACTCTAGATGCAATGGACTTTGTTTTTTCACTTGATTCTGTTTTTCCATGTTGCCAGTGTTCACAGTCATCGTTATAATGGTGTAAAATACTGTAAGCTAACACACCGTAATATATGCAGCCATTTCTTTTCCTCCATTTTAATAAGCCTTCGACAACTGCTGGTGATAATAGAGATGTTTGAATAAAGTGACACGTAACGTAACGGATTATTTCACGTTGCTACAGTAATGGGCCAAGGTATACTTGGACTACCTACCAGGTGTTAACAAATTTGAGAACCATTGTCCGTGATGGAATTACTCCGGAGAGCCCGTTTCCCCCCCTTTCAATCTCCTGTCTGCCTTTTGAGAACTAGTCGTGCCTAGGAGAGTGACTGGTGGTGGTCCCTCTTCAGAGTTGGAGCTGGTGTTGAGTGATCAGCTGTGGTCCTGGGGAGAACTGTGGACTGTTAATCAGCTGAAGGATATTGTGGGATTGGAAATGGTAATACCTGGCTGCCCTGATTTTCAGGTATTAAGTCTTTAAATGTTTTGGGTAGTTTTTTTCATTCTCCCAGTTTCTTTTCTTTAATCATTTGGAAGACACCTGTGTGCGACTGTGCACCTTACAACTCTTTATGAATTACTTTACATCTTTCAGTGGCCCCTCAGTGAGCAGTGTGAGTTTAATAATTAACTTGACAGTTTGAGGATAGGTTGCAGGTACATTTTTGGAGGAGCCCACGCAGCGTCCCTTCATTTCCATAGTGTGTTGGTCCTCCTGCCCCGCACACCTGTACCACGGGCAGACCCGCACTCTCCTCTTTCTCTAGCCATCTGCCCTCCAGTCTGGCTGATGTAGGAGGGTCTCACCCGAGGGACCACAGAAGCGAGTTGTCAGGATTTTGGACCTTCCTCTACATACCCAAAGTATGTTTTGTTTTTCCTTTGGAATATGCCAGGGGTCATATATCTATTCTTTTTTTCCTTATCATCTTTATTGAGGAATAATTTACATGTATTACCGTATCCATTGAAGATGTACATTTCTAGGAGTCAAGATACAGAACATTTCTTTCTTTAAAAAAAAAAAAATTATGTAAGTACTCTCTCATATCTAACGTGGGGCTCGAGCCGACAACCCTGAGACCGGAGACCCAGTCACATGCTCCCCCAGCTGAGCCAGCTGGGCGCCCCAGAGCATTTCTATTCCTGTTTTGATTTTTAATTGTACGGATACTGTGTTGTTTGCCATTTTGGTGGCAGATTTCTTCAAGAGTACTGCTCTCCGAGAGAATTTTCTGTTTTGATGTAAATGTTCTAGATCTATACTCCAATATGTCACCACTGTGCCAGGCACGTGTAGCTTTTGAGCATTTGAAATGTGGCTGGTGTGACTGAGGAACTGAATGTTTAATTTTAATCTCTTTTTTAACTGAAATTCAAACAGCCATACATAGCTAGTGGCAATCATATTGGACAGTGCAGTTCTAGGCGCTTTGATACTCTGAAGGTCTAATTTTTATGTCTGTTTTGTTTCTGTTTTTGTCTTTTTCACTTAATCTTAGTATTTAGTTGTTTGCATAAACTAACAACTTTAAAAACGTGCGTGTTTTGGGGCTCCTGGCTGGCTCAGTGGGGCAAGTGAGTCCTGATCTTGGGGTTGTGAGTTTGAGACCACATTGAGTGTGGAGATTACTTAAAAACTTAAAAAAGAAAGTAAAAACGTGCATGTTTGAATCATTGCGTTTTAGGAGTCATTTTGGCTTTGTGTTGTGTAGTGAGAAGCTCCCTTGAAAATAGTCCTCAAGGTTCCATTTAAAATTTTTAGATAAAAGTGATTGGGAAGCTACTTTTTACTTCTGTTAATCTTGTGTTAGTAGGCATGGTATCCATTTCTGATGAAGAGCTTTGCTCTTGACATGCTGATGCCTCAGGGTGACCTACATCAGTTGCATAATGGCAATCTTGTCATTTGCATGGATTTTTGTTAGCATTTGTTGCCTGATTAATGGCCATGGCCAATGGTGGCTGTCGTTGATGCTTGAAGGAAAAGCAAGTGGAGGTAAGTAGCCAGAAGTAGTAGGGAAAAGTTTTGGACCTGAGGCTGCTACTGAGAGATGTTATCCTAGCCCCTTACTGTTCTGAATCAAGTTACTCTTCCTATTTTAGATTCTACTTAAGGACATACTGTTTCATTTGCCAATCTGCAGTAAAGGAGTTTGCTTCATTGTGGCTGACCAGGATTTAAACTTTGGGAACTTAACTAGTAATTCTGAGATCTATATGTTTATGACTAACGCTCTTTCCCTGGTTAGTTTGGCGATCACATCAGCTGGGATTTCAGCGTCAAGGAAGAATTTCTGTGGCTTGTCCTTATCCCCCACAAGTAGCTTTATGGCTCCGGACGCAGAAGGCAAAGGATCCAGAGTCCCTTGCCTCTCAGGAATGAACACATTCTCAGGAATTGTGTTCTTCCCTTTCTTTCCCCTTGGGTAGTTTGACCCAGCACAGAAAGTAGTCCCAGTGCAACCTGGCATTTGCATCTTTTTGAGTCACTGAAATAACCGGTGTTTTGACAATGATAGAACAGATGTAACTAACTCTTGAGCTAGAAAAGGTTTTGTTCTGTTCACAGTGCATACACTCTGAGAATAGTGGATAACTTTAATATCCTCATGAAATATTCCAAAACAGAAAGTTTTTTTTTGTTTTAAGTTGAATTTCTGCTAGCAGGGTTAAGAACTTTTATAGTTGTAGAGAATGTGTAGTGGGAGATAGAATTTAATTTCAAGGTTGCCGGATGAATTTACATCGGGGAGCACGCTGAAACATTTAACTAGAAAAGTACTTTCACGTTTACACAGCAGGTGAAATGCCCGTGTGGCAAAAGGCCACCGCGTGGCCGTCCCTACTTGTCCTTGCCCAGCAGCTTGAAACTAGCTCATTCGGCAGATCTAAAACAATGAGGTTACGGACCAGTGAAACGTTTTGCTATGTATACTTCTCTGTTTTCTTCTGAGACCATTAAGTTTGTGGGAACGCTTTAAGAATGTACTTAAGATTTTCTTAGTCTCAGAGACATGAATACCAGTGGGAGAACGTTTGATTTAAAAGAGTTTGAGAGAGAGTTGGAGGGGCAGAGAGAGAGAGAAGGGAGAGGGAAAATGAGAGAGAGAGAGAGAGAGAGAGAGGGAGAGAGAATGAATGAATGAATGAATGAATGAGAATGAATTCCAAGCAGGCTCTGCACTGTCAGCACAGAGCTGGATGTGGGGCTCAAAGTCACAAACCATGAAATCTTAACTGACTGAACCATCCAGGTGCCCCTGAAATTTTCTTTATACGGGTGATTTTAAGAGAAGAGATTTTAAGAAGAGATAAATGACTGATGGTTTTCGACAGGTGAAAGGGTTGACCTTATGAATTACTAAGTTAAGTAAGTAACTTTCCCATCATACTCTTCTAGAATAATGCTCCCATCAACCTTCATTGGTCAGAAACTGTTTGTAGTCTGGCTGTCCCTCTTCCCTTTCTAAGAGTATATTTTTTTGGTGGTCCATCCCCTTGTACTAGTGTAAAGTACATGTTCAAATAGGTTTAGGGGCAGTAGAGTATAATAGAACACCGATTCTGATTTTGGATTCACATTTAGGCGTAAATCCCATCCATCTCTGCCATTTACTACCTTACTGACTTGTACAAATTATTTACCATCTCTAGGCTCTGCTTTACTAATACTGTTTGTAAAATAAATTTAGTAATGTCCATGTCTGGGGCTCCCCAGATGAGGCAAGGCAATGTTAAGTGCATTTAGTGAGCATTCACTAATGAGCGTGCATTTCACCTCTGTGGCAGCCTAACACCCTTTGGCTTATAGAACTTGGGGACACATGCTACATTACGTCACTTCTTTTTCTGTCAGGTAATATTTTAAGTATTAAAATCAGAAGAAAGTGTTCATGCTTTTATTCATGAATGGAAAGTGCATTTTTTAAAAATACATGTAACCAACATAATAACTTTTCGTTTAAATACTTTAAGTTTCTTACAGTGTTTGTTCTTCACAGATAGTTTTATGGGAAAATACTGATTCATAAAGCATTTCCTAAGGAGGTTATATTTTTAAATACGGTACATTTTCCAGGTATCATGATATATTTTCAGAGTAATTGTGTTTGTGCAATTATTAAATAATAGTCGTTTCGTGCGTGTCTTTGTGGACAGGCTGTTTTCCTTCTGTGGTTATAAAAGTTGCCATGGTTACCTCGTCATACTTTGTACTAATGTCAGACCTGCTCTACTAATTTGAGAGGGATAGAAATGGAGACTTTACTTCCTAAGAAAATTAGCTAAATTTTTTATTTTAAATTAACATTTAAGCTGAGTTTTTCACCTATTTCACGTTTATTTCCTTTGAAAGTACTAGGCGTATATTAAATCACTTTTAAAGCTCTTTAATTTAGTATTTAAGCCTCTTGTCTTCCTCTTTCCTGTGCTAGAGAGAAGTGGGTGAGAAATTCACTTGTCTACAGCAGTGCTGCCCCTGGATGTGATAGCCAACCTAATCTCTCTTATCACAAGTCTCATTGATGTTTGCTTAGAAGAGCAGCTGGAAGTCTGCTTTATGTATGGCAACCTTTCATAAAGTTTATTCTTGGTAATAAATCTCCTGGGGTAAGAGCCAGGCTATTATAAGAGACAGTCCTCTCTCTGAACAAGAGTATTTTATTTTGTCAGCTGGAGTTAGTGTTTGAATATCTTGTGCTTGTGACAGTAAGCTGATGAGTAAGGCAAGCCATTTCTGAAGGGTATTTTCTCACTGTCATGAAATTAATGGCTTTCACTAGAAATGAGAATGCTGCTATAGGACTTGTAATGCGAAGACAACAGTTAACGTTAGTGAATTGTGAATTTCCAGTACTTAAGTGAAAGAAAACATACTAAAACTCATTTATAACTTTGAGACCTCATTGAATGTCTTCTATTTGTTTTACATATTTAAATTTTCATTTTGAAATTCGCAAGTGCTAAAAGAATAGCGAACACATCATGGATTCGTTTTCCACTTTCCTTTTGTTAATAGAGTGTTAGGCATAGAGGTACATGTTGATTCATTAATCCAACTAAGATTTACTGAGCATCTACTACATTGCTTTAGTGATGCTTCAGTTATGACTTTCTTTTTTTTTTAATCGTAAGTTTTCTTGTGACTTTAATTTCGTAGAATGTAGATAATCAAGAAGTGGGACCAAAAAAGCCAAAAAAAAGGTGTTTTTTATGATAATGATAAAAATACTGTTGTTTTACCTTCTCACATCATAAGCTGCTACATATATATAATACTTTTACCTGCATTATCTAATGGGAACCTTTGGACAATCATATGAATTAGGTGGGGCAGAGGGTGTTAACCCCCCTTATAGATGAGAAAACTGAGGCCAAGATAGATGAAGCGGTTTGCTCCCAGTTACTTGAGGTGGTAAATTTTGCACCATTAGAACCCATATTTTCTGACTCCTTTGTCAAAACAGTAAGAGCCTTGGACTAAGCCTCCAGAAAGTCATGTAGAGTCTTTTAATTTAGAATTTCTTCTGGACATAGTTGTAGTACATTTTCTTACTTGGTTTCTAACATGTTGAAACGACGATGATCAGTTCAGGACTGCTCGTTAGTGCTGGTCAGATTGCCGGCCGCAGTGAGTGGTGGACACCAGCAAAGAAACCGGAGCAAACACAAAACAAAACGCACTGACTCCGGTGCACTTTGTCAGGGGGCGTGAAGCCTCATACACTTTAGTAGATAGATTCCAAGTCTTTCCTTGATTACAACATCATATAATAATTGCCTTAGAAATAATAATTTTGGGAAAATTTACATGGAGGAAGTTGCATTAAAAATGTTTGCTGGGGGGGGCGCCTGGGTGGCTCAGTCGGTTGAGCTGGCCCTGACTCTCAAGCCAGGTCAGCGATCTCTCACAGTGCCAGGAGTTCAAGCCTGGCCTCTGTGTTGACAACTCAGAGCCTGGAGCCTGCTTACCCTGTGTCTCCCCCTCCCCTCTGCCCCTAACCCACTACTTGCCCTCACTTCTCTCAAAAAAATAAATAAACGTTAAAAAAATTTGTTTAAAAAAAAAATGTTTGTTGGCTGTATTTGGAAAATTAACAGATATTAACTTAATTCTCTATAATCTGGGATAAATGAAGCATTCCCAAAATAACTCTTTACACTTCTGGGATTTGGTACCAATGGTATTTTATAATACCATCATTGCATTTGCTTTGCATGACAGTCTTAGTATACTCCTTGTCAATCAGCTTTGATCTGATTTCATTGAAATTCACCACTCTAAATTATTCACAACAGCTTTGCTTGACCCTCTAAGTATCATCAGAGTCTCTGTCTCAAGCACACAGAAAGAGTATCTAACTCTCTGACTATGACAGAGTGCAGAGAGGCAGCGCTTGAGGGCAATGCTGATCAGTAGAAGGGGAGCAGATGTACGCAATTTGGATGAATTCATTGAGACCGAAAAGTCTGAAGGGAGCAGACAGGGACCTTCTACAAGGGTAAGAAAAACAAAAATTTGTGATCCCTAGAGGCAGTCCGCTTCTTTTGTCCTGAGAAGGAGCTGTCCTCGTTTTTTCCCATAGGATTTCAGTTTTGGCTTGCTTCCCTAGCTGTCTTCATTACAGTGCAATGCACCTACTGTGAAGGTAACTTGACTGTAATGAGATTTGATTGATAATCAAACACTGAAAATGAGGAACCATATTGGGAATTGAGTCCTGGGCACTGTGATATGTGGTCTGTGAATAGGGAGAAGTACTGTGATACTGTGTTGACATGTGTGGGAGTGCTTGGTTCTCACTGCTTAGTTCTCCAGGAATCTCTGTTAATTTGGCCCCGTTGAGCCGTAGTGCTATGGGATATTGAATGTTTATGATGCTAATCTCAAATCCTTACAGGACTTCCAAATTAAGGAGCAGTAAAACAAATCTTTTAATGATGAGACTGTCTTACTGAATTATGGTTCTTTGAAAGCTGGTAATTTTAGGTACGTTAACACCAGAATATTTGGTTTCTGGTATACTTGTAACCATGCTGCATAATTTATTTTTATGTATTTCTTATGTCTTTGGCAGCAATTTGAAAAGAACTTACTTTTAAAAATTTGTCTTTTTATTTCAAAAGTATAAAGTGGAAAACAATACATACAGGTTGCTAGAAATGGCATATAAATGATGTATACCTATGCATTAAAAATTAGAAAGCTGTGAACAAATGTTTACAGTAATAATCTCAGGATGGTAGGATTGTGGGCAGCTTCCTTTGTACTTTCGTGTACTTTCTAGTTTTTCTAAGATTAAGATCTTTTTATGGGAAAAACTTAAAAATGAAATATTCTTATGTTCGGAGAACTGAATCTATATATAGTAAGACTGTTTTATTCTTAATTATCATGTGTTAAGAATATACTTTCTTTTATGGGTGAATTTTACTTCATCAGTGTGAAAGTTTGCTGTCTTGGAGAGATGGTCTTTATTGCCACTCACGAAGCCTTCCCATCCCACTGAGGGCTCCTTGTTTGTGTCATGAGGTTGTAGTTAAAAGAGACTTATTTTTAAAACGTCTTCCTTTTTCTGAGCAGCATTAACCCCAGAAAGTCCTCAGCTCTCAATGCTCCTGCCCTTTTTATTCACTCATTTTTTCCTATCTTGACTTAAAACACATGCGTGTATTCTTAGGAAGTGTTTATTTCACATAAAAATGAAGCTTCATCGTGAGCATGTATTTCATTAATTAGAGTTGTGTTATTGAAAATTTGAATGTGGTCATAGTTTAAAAATATGCCATTTTGTGGTGAATAGAGGTTGACACTAACAGTTTGTGGTAAATTACTTGTGGAAAATTACACAGATAATAATAATCTATTTGTAAGAGTGATAAGTTTGTGTTTACTGAGAGCTTCTGGGTTCATAATATTCTATTCGCTGAAGTCTGACTTAGAAAGGAGAGAAAAGCCAAGGCTGAAAGATAGAAAATATAGGATGTTGTAAAATGTTTCCAGAATCAGGATCCATGTAATCCATCGTGTTAGATTTCTCTGTGCGCTAATTTTTTGCTTTGAATTTTATTAATTTGAATTTAATACCTACTTTCCCCCACTAAAGCCTGGGTATATTTAAAAATCTTAAGTTTTTAAAATGTTCATAGTTGGTCCCAGTGTTATTTAAATGTATCTGTGAGGTTTTGATTGTTGGTACTTTAATCGTCAATCACCATTTTAAAAGAAAGCCGTATTTTAAACTACAATTTTTTTTAACTAAAAAAAGAAAAAAGAGGGAAGGTACAAGATGAATTTCTAAGATCCCTTTAATGTGTAGAATGAAGTGAGTATGTGCCAGACTGTGTTCTCTGTAAGAGGCTCTTTAGTGCTTGGTTTCTCAGACCAGGTTTCTTCCTCATATGCCTGGGGCCATGCAGAGGCAGTTAAGCTTGTACACTTCTCTTGATGATTTGGGGAAGGGAGGACGTTTTTATAATAAAAGAAATGTATATCTTGAAGTAAAGTTACAAAGAGAGAGAGAGTGTGTGTGTGTTTAAACTAAACCGGGCGTATTAAGAGTACTTTTACCATTGTTGAAGGCAGCTTGGTCTATACCCGAGATTCTTGAGGGAATTTGCATATATCTCTATTATTAAGCTTCCCTAGTGTGAAAAAGTCTAAAAACTGCTTGAATGTATGAGCTAGTGTGCCATCCATAAATATTAGTTATACAGACGTGCATGTTTATTTTAGTTGAGATAAAGAGGCAGATAGGAATTTAATTCTTTTTACAGTTTTTAGAGGAAAGTCTCAGACGTGTACAAAAATAGACATAGAGTATATTGGTCATCCATGTAATCATCCTTCATTCAGCCTTAGCAAATGTCAGCTCATGCCATTAGGAATTTAATTTTGTGTATATTTGCTAAGATTTGCCAAGATAAGCATCTGTAAGGTCAAGGTACTGACATCAGAAGCATTTCTGAACAAAGATGTTGCAGTTGGTGGGCGGGTAGAACTGTGTTCAGCTGTTGTATAAGCTCGCATAAATAGTATCGTCTTGACTTTAATCTTTCGGTTGTTCAGAGGTAGTGTGCATATTTCTGTTTAACCCCTGGAAACTTGCCAAAATAATTTGTATCCTCTCCATCCTTGGCACCTTGACTCTAAATCTAAATAGTCTATGAATAAAAGCAACAAGTTGATATTAGGAGCCTGTTGGATAGAGCCATTAAGAACGACCATCTTCAGTTTTCATTTAAAAAACTTTTGTGAACTATTCCATTTAATGTTCTGGATGCTATAAAATCTGTTGCATTTTTCATCTATGCACTTTATAGACATGAGAACATAGACAGACCTGGATTCAAATCTCAGCTGGCCTTAATTACTTACCTCTCCAAATCTTACTTGTTCAACTGTAAATGGGGATATGGATTGTTGTGTGAAGTGAATGAAGTGATACATTCAACATTGATAATCTTGAAATGTCATTTGCACTCCATGATTGAATACATGTATGTCCCAAGTTCAAGTCATAGATGGATTTGTATAAGTGAAGTTGATTACTAGGCTACTTAGAAAGAAGAGCTATCTTTACTTTGTCATGTCTAGTTTTGTGACTGGTAGGTGTAAGATCTAAAGATAGAAAATGTTCTTTAAACAAATGCTGTATTGAAGCAAAACATTGGGAGAAAATAATGCCTTACAGTTGTTTCTTATCAAATAATTACAGCAAACTTTGGCCTGTTCTATTCTAACTGCACTATTGAGCGAATTCTCAAGTTCAAGTAAAACTAGCAACATTGGACTCAGTATGGAATTCCATGGCAACTGCAAAAGAGTTTTTCAGGTATTGGTATTTTTGTTTTTACGTTTTATTAGATTGTTAACACAGTCTTTTCCTAATGGAGTAAGAACACTTATTTTGCCTAGTTGAGTGATGGCCTCTACTTGAAGATTTGTGTTGCAATTTCATAGTATTTAGTAAAGGATAAAGGATGGGATAGGATAGAGACTTGGTGCACATAGCTAACAATTTAAGATTTCTTGTTAATTCTAGTCTTTAAACAAAACAAAAAGGAAATACCGCTCCAAACATCCTTAGATTAGTTACGCTGTTCTTACTGCGTTCAGATGCAACTAATTCAATTGGTAGGACTGTTGGCCTTAAAATAGGCCTGGCAGAATGCCAACGAGGGCCATGTAGTTAAAATGTTATTGCAGATGGTGTGGGCTCTTTGTCTCATATGTATTGTTTGGCTCTGAAGTAAAGTTATGTGAAGGCATTGGCTTAAATCCGAGGGCTCTGCACCAAAGCAACTGACCCCCTCCAGCTCTGTAGTAGCTGTCAAAGACTCGACCTCTCGAGCATTTGTATTATAGTAGATGCGTTCCGACCGGTGTCACTGGAAAGCATACTGTGCTATAAATTATGAGCAGGCCTAAAAATGGAAAATTTTCTTAAGGAGGTAGTGGTTTCCATCGGAAATTTTGGGGGTTTTGTTTGTTTTGTTTTATGGTTCTTAAATGGGAATACATTTTGAATAAGCTTTTGATCGAAAAGTACGTGTGATTTATTTATTACAGGAAGAAGACCTTCGTCAGATCTTCATGCTAACAGTTGAAGTTCTTCAGGAATTCAGCAGGCGGGAAAACCTCAATGCTCAGATGTCTTCGGTATTTCAGCGTTACCTTGCCCTCGCCAATCAAGTCTTGAGCTGGAACTTTCTTCCTCCAAATTATATCCTTTTAACAACTGAATTGTGGTGATTTTCATAGATTACTTAATTATGGCTAAAAACGTTTTATCTTTGCAGGTTTGTAAAGCACATTGTTGAAAGAAAATACGCTTTTTTTAGAAATGGAATTTAATTTTTTTCTTTTTATAATACACAATGTAGTGGACGACTTACAAGATTTAAAATTTCATTCACAACTTTATAGAAAAGAGTTCAATAAATGAAAGCATTTAGTGGATAGTGGGGCTATTGCTAACTAAGGAATAGCAGTGTTTCTTAGGAAGGAAAAGGAAAAAGGTGGGAAGCGCATTTCTATCAAGAAACTGAATCATTTTCTCTGTGTAACATGTAATTATGTTGGATTTTTTTGGCTGACCTTAAAGACTAATTTTTCATGCTCTAATTTGATTTTTATGGATGACGGTATTGTTCAAGTGTGGATAACAAGGTAAGTAATACAGTTATTCTTTGGTGACCTTTTTTAAAATAAAAATCTCAAACTTTTATTTCTAGCTAATTATTAGTAATATAAAATAAGCTTAAGTGAGTTACATTGTAGGTACGTATATCTGCTCTTCAAAAAATCAGTTATTGAAGTAGAGAAATTTGTATTTTATAAAGCAGGTTCTTAGTTTAAGGTTTATGATTTGCTTTCTAGAACATTTATTGCCTGTTGATAGATTGAAAGCAATACTATCTAGTGTCTCTTAATTTTTTCATAGCTGAATCAGACAAATTCTTAGCTGATGTTAGGCAGATTACTTAAAGTCTCTGAGTCTCAGTTATTCCAAATATAAAATGGGGATATGGATAGTTAAGTGAATTTAATGTAGTAATACATTTAAAACTCTCAGGAGTTAGCTACTATTTATTGAGCTTGTAATAGCTTCTTTGAATAAAGAAGTTCATCAGCTAGCTGTCTACGTTATGCTCTTTTTTTCTTGATCTGATATATAAGAGATCTAATCTGTTGTATGTGTCTTTAATCAGTCTCCTCCTGGGTACCTGGATGAGGGGGAGAGGGAATCTGTTTAGGAGAAAAAAGACGATAAGCAAACAGGAAATACGTATTCAGCCGTATCAGAGATTTAGGATGAGACCCCTCTTTATCCCAACAGAGCCGAGGGTTGTTACATTCACATACATAGAGATCACCAAATGTTTTTGGCTGGTAAAATTTTAAATTTTAAAGGGGTCAGGTAGGGTGAAGTACAGTGTTTTCTTCTATTTTCAAGTTAATACATTCATGTAGTAGAAAACTAACTATGTGTTGTGTACAGGGTGTTGAGTCTGTGACTTAGACCCTGAGTTCTCCAGTTTTATTTCCCCAAGGCAGTCCTAGTGAGCTGCTGCTTTATGGGGCAGAGCTCACAGTGATGGTAATTACTTTCCCTTTTTATCCTTGCTCTTTAATCATTTTTCTACAAGTAATTTATTTTATGTCTTCAGTATATTCTTTTTGGGGTTGTTAAAAGGCACATATTTTAAGTTTGCTTTTTTAAAAATTTCCCCTTTAAGTGTTGCAGTGTGAGTTTTGCTCCAGTTTTTGTTAGTAAGAAAAGGAAAGATGTTGAAAAACTTAGAGACAGATTTAAAAAGTAACAGACCATATGGAGCTATCAAAACATTAATTATAAATGTAGGGAAAATCAACAAAAGTTACACTGCATATATTGGAGCCAATTTTAAAGTCTCTGCGTTAGGGGGAAATGTAGTTGGCTGAAGAGTGACTGTTTTGTAGAGGGAAACAGTGCTCTGGGAGTTTGGAAACAAAGTTTGTCTAAAGATACACACACATAAAATGTTTTTATAAAGTATTTAGATAAAGCTTTGGAAAACCTGTCATCTGAAAATAATAAGCACAGCTACAGTGTTCCCAAAGGAAATAATTCCTTGTTTGAAGAAAAGTAAGTCTTCATCTTGACCTTTGGATATTCTACTTCGTGACTTACAAATGAATTCTTTCGTGAGCGTAGTTCGCATAGTCGCCGTTTGTTGGCTTCCTAGTCCTTCCTTTAAGTGGGTTAGCTTTAAGTGCAGGAGAAAGAGCATGGCAGTGGAGTTAAACTAAGCTACATTTTCAGTGCTAATTAAACGGAATCAGTTTCATGGAATCCAATTCTGATATAATTTCTAATTTTGGGAGTTTCTTGGTGATCTATTCAGTCAGTGGGGAGGGAATTGGATATTCAGCTTTGTACCTTTAAGAGGGCCTATAGAACAAGTTTAACCTAGTTATATGTATTAAGTGGATGGCTTTTTAGAAATGATTTATCTTTTAAGGTAGATGAGTAGCAAGTGGACCTTGTAAAATATGTATCTTGTAGCATACATATATATTAAAAAAATTTTTTTTAATGTTTATTTTTGAAGGAAAGAGAGACAGAGCATGAGTGGGGGGAGGGCGGAGAGAGAGGGAGACGCAGAATCTGAAGCAGGCTCCAGGCTTCAAGCTGTCAGCACAGAGCCTGATGTGGGGCTCGAATTCACGGACCGTGAGATCATGACCTGAGCTGAAGTTGGATGCTTAACAAACCGAGCCACCCAGGTGCCCCTGTATCAACTATATTTGATCATTTGCAATGATATCATGTTAAATGAGGCTGTATTAAGTTGTCAGTATCAATCCTTATTCATAATTTTTTATAATTTGCTTCTCTTTTGCATCTTTTTATTTTGATGTAATTCTAAACATTCAGAGATAACTGTAAGAGTAATTCAAAGAATTGCTGTATGCCCTACTACCAAGATTCACCAGTTGAAAATGTTTTGTCCCTTTCTTTTTCTCTCTTTCTGTCTCTATATATACATAATTTTTTGTTGTAAAGATATGCCACACTTTTTATTTATCCATTGATCAACTTATTGACGGTTGGTTTCAACTCTTTGGTTACTGTGAATAATGCTGCTGCTGTGAGCATTCATTGTAAGTTTATGTTTGGACTTATGTTTTCATTTCTGTGAGATATACCTAGGAGTAGAATTGCTGGGTCATATGGAAACTCTGTGTTTAACCTTTTGAGGAGTTGCCAAGCTGTTTTCTGGAGTAGCTGTACCATTTTACATTCCCACCAGCAGTATATGAGTGTTCCAGATTTTCTACATTCTGGCTAAGACTTTGTAATCTGTGTGTCCATAGCCATCCTGTTTCATACGAAGCAGGATCTCATTGTGTTTTGATTTGCATTACCCTGATGGTTAATTTATTAAACATTTTATGTAGGTATAGGCCATTGTTTATCTTCTTTGGAAAACTGCTATTCAGATCCTTTGTCTATACTTTAATTGGTTTGTTTGTTTAAAATTGAGTTGTAATAGTTCTTTTATATTCTGGATACAAGTCTCTTAAATACACGATTTTCACGTATTTCCTCCATTTCTGTGAGTCGCATTTTACTTTTTTATGTTGTCCTTTGAAACACAGAAAATTTGCATTTTGATGATGTCCAATTTATTTATTTTTTCATTTGTTGTCATATCTCAGAAATCATTGCTTTATCCAAGGTCATGAAAATTTATGCCTGTGTTTTCTTCTAAGACTGGCTTCTTACATATAAGCTCTTATATTGAAGACTTTGATCCGTTTTGGGTTAAGTTTTATGTGTGATGTGAGATAGTGGTCCAGCTTTATTCTTTTGCATGTGGATATCAGGTATCCCAACAGATGTTTGACCATTGATTAGAAAGGTAGAAGAGGTGGGATGTGGGGGGTGGGGGGGGGTGGGGGTGGGGATCAGTTAGTTAAGCGTCCCACTTTGGCTCAGGGTATGCTCTCACAGTTCATGAGTTTGAGCCCTGCGTCAGGCTCTGCTCACAGCTTAGAGCCTGGAGCCTGCTTTGGATTCTGTGTCTCCCTCTCTCTGCCCCTCCCCTGCTCATGCTCTGTCTTTCTTGCTCTCAAAAATAAATAAAACATTTAGTAAATAAATAAATCAATCTAGAAGAGGCTGGGGAAGTAGGAAGTACCTGATATATGTCATGGTGGTGAATGATTATTGTGTCTGTTAATGTGTAATTTAGTTGCCCTAACATCAGTTTTTAATTTGGAATACCAAAAGAATTGATAGGAGAAATTATTCATATGAATAAATGATCTATAGGGTTAGATATGCATGCTCAGCCTACCAATTTTGTATTTAGTAGGTATTATGTAAATATTTGTTGATAAATGAAAGGACATGCTTATAACCTGAAATATATATTAGGTTGCTTGGGAGGAAATTTTGAGTAATTGACTGCTGAAGCTTTTGTAAATTTCTTACAGAGAAATGTGTAAATTATGACCTAAAAATGTTATTGTGAAGCCAGTGCACACTGACTCAACAGTGGAGCTAAGATGTGCAGAGAGATATTAGTGAAAAGGATGCATGGATTGAATATTGAGATATTTATTAGTATTTAAGACTGTTAGTCCTGTCATAATTAATTTGCAGTGATCTTGGGTCAAGATTAATGTGCATACAGGGTTTCGCTAAAGAAATCCTAACTCTACGGCAGGGGTTCTCAGTTGGGGTGATTTTGCATACTTGGGACATTTGGCCATGTCTGGAGACATATTTGGTTATCACAACTAGGGGAGTGTTACTTAGGCAACTGGTGAGTAGAGGCCAGGGGTATTACTAGACACCGTAGAATGCACAGGACAGCTCCCACGAGAAGTAGTTACTGTGTCCAAAAGGTCAATAGTGACCCACACAAAAACTTTTATGTGAATGTACTTAGCAGTATTATTTATAATGGGCAACAAGTGGAAGTGACCCAAGTAGCCATCAACTGATGAATGGATAAATGTGGTTTGCTCACATAGCAGAATATTATTCATCAATAAAAAGGAAGACTGGTACTGATACATGCAACAAAATGGATACACCTTGGAAACCTCATACATCTTAAGTGAAAGAATTCATTCACAAAAGACTGCATGTTGTAGAATCCCATTCGTAGGAAATGTTCAGAGTAGGCAGGTCTGTGGAGACAGACAGATGAGTAGTTACCTAGGGCC